AGGCAGCAGGTTGCATAAAAGTCTATAGGTCAAATAAGCTTTCAAGTGATGCTCTGACTTCAAAGGAGAACACAGGGAGACACAGACCTGACTCACCAGCTGCTCTCCTACAGAAGAATGTGTCAAAGGAAGCAGAGCAAGTCACAGGCGCTCAACCAAGACCTGTCAGTCAGGTGGTTCTGTCAGGCATATACCATGAACTTCTATGAGACAGAGAAGGGCTGTCTGTGGCACAGTTCCTTCCCCAAGGAGCAGAGTCTGTTTCCAAGACCACTCACACAACATGAGGTAGTCGCAAGCATATATTTATCATGGCTTCCCCTTTAGGGGTTCTTGTTTTGTTTTTGTTGTTTGTTTACTTTGGTTCGGTCTGGCAGTGATGTTCTGGGAAATCATTTGGTTAGAAAAGATACTTTACTAAAAGTACTTATTTCATTAGTATAATAGAAGATTGCATTATTAAGTTCAAGATGAAAAAGCTCAAGATCATTAAAACAAACAGAAACCTGGTTAACTTTAAAGAAAAAAAGATGCTATTCCAAAAATGATTAGTCCCCCAAATGACTGAATTACATAGTAAGGCACATCTGAACAAAATAACAGAAACTGGCTGTGGTGTAATAGAGGAAGCAGCAGAGAGAGCTACGGTGGATGCCAGAGCCTTTGAAGTGAAATTCCAAAGTCAAAGTGATCTTTAGAAACAGCAGAAGTGATCAGGAAAGACAAAGAAAAGAAAGCCCCATACACAAAGAAAGTAAAAATGACAGATTCAAATAAAATATCTGGGGAGGGGAAAATTATGGTTTTTTCCCCAAATGTCAGGGAACCAAAGACTCTTGCAAATACTACTTAAAATCTGTCCAAGAGTACCATAGCAGTCCATAATTTTAAAGTTACTTGTGCAACTGAGCAAGTATTTATTGCATGCCTATTAGATGCCAAGGCCTCATGCCAGCCAGAGGGATGGCAGTATGGCCCTAAGAACAAACACATAAATGCAAAGACACAATTCTTTTCCTCAAGCACACATTAACAGTAAGTATTTAAGGATGTGTTTCTGTGTACATAAATTCACTTGTGCATGAGATGGAGGCAGTGTGCAGAGTGAACAAGGCCCTGGGCCCGGGGGCCCTGAAGAGAGAGAAATTCTAGTCACAACTCTATAACTGGCTCTGTGACAGTGGACAAAGTCCATGAGAAAGTGGAGGGCCACAAGACTAGCTCACCTGCAAGGTCACCACATCAATGAGGAACGGACCTAGAGAATTCTGGTCTGACTCCTAGTCTAAACCTGTCCAAATACACATAAGCAAGCTGGTGCAGAAGGAAAAGTTTGAGAAGATGAAACTTTCTGGCTTCAAATAATTTAGGAGAAAAAAAGGGAAGATGGGAGCAGGAGAATCTGGAAAGGACATGAGGAAAAGGGAAAGCTCAATCTGAGACACCCAGAGAGTCACCAAGAAAGAAAGCCACTAAATACAGCTAGCTGTGAACACAGCATAAGGATACAGTCCATTCAAATCATGCCTTGGAAGGTTTTTGTTTTGCTTTTATTTGTTCTAAAACAATTTTGGACAAATATATCAAATATATTTGATATATTTTATAAAAATAAATAAAAATGCTGGGTGTGGTGGCGCACGCCTTTAATCCCAGCACTTGGGAGGCAGAGGCAGGTGGATCTCTGTGACTTCAAGGCCAGCCTGGTCTACAAAGTGAGTTTCAGGCCAGCTGGGGCTACAGGGAGACCCTGTCTCAAAAAGACCAAAAAATAATAAATGAATAAATAAATAAATAAATAAATAAAATTTAGCAAAGTATATCAAGAATCCAAAAATTATGATGGGTGTGGTAGCACACACCTTTAAGAATCCCAGCACTCAGGAGGAAGAGGCAGGCAGCTTTCTGTGAGATTGAGGCCAGCCTGGTCTACATAGTGAGTTCCAGTACAGCTGGGGCCACAGGGAGACCTTGTCTCCAACAAACAAAAAATCCAAAAATGATATACATGAATGATATTTGAAGAATCTGTAACAAAGAAGGGGGAAAGGTTATACTATCATTCAAACACATTAAGTCCTTTCATAGAGGCCCTTGTACCCAAGAAGAGATGAATTATATTCTATAGCATCCAAGTTAGCAACTTCTAAAGTCCTTGAGAGCCAGAAGGGTTAATCACTGGATAGGTTCATTGTGGAAATTATTAAAATCCAGAAGGAAAGACTCCATATACCTCCTAAAGGAGGATAAAATGGAACCAGAGTCCCTCCCAGTCACTGTGTCAGAGTCACTTATAGACCCTCCATTACAATGACAGATTCTTGGGCCTATTGTGTCAGAGATCTGAAGAACCAGGCCAGTGCTCCTGTGGCAGGCAGGACTTGGAGCTCTGCTCTACCACAGTAGAGAGGGTGAAGAGGATCACTAGGAATGGCATCACAGTGGGAACTAGATCAATGCAAATTTTGTGGGCAAAATAAAATTTCTGTGGGTGTGATATTTTTAAAATGTATTGTAAGGCTGCTCTGAAGCACCCAAGCATATCCCACTGAATTTAGAAATTCTTTAAAGGTTCTGAAATCAGCGACTATACAGGTGAGCCAAAAGTTACTCTTCTAAGCAGTAAATCCACAGAAAATCATGCAAGGAGAATGCTAAAGAGATGCCAACAAACATGAGTAAATGTCCTTAAAAATCAAGGCATCAGGAAGAGAGACCACAACTAATCACTCTCCCAAGAAAGAAAAATGAAAAATAGTTACAGGGCACATTTCATCTCCATCTGAAAAAAAAAAAACTGTTCTTTATGATCTTTTTTAAAGCAAAGGGATTCAACTAAGAAACTGTCCAGGTTGCAGCAGAACCAGGGAGTCACTCCCACTGCAAAGTAGGAGCAAGGGGTGGTCCTGGGTGGCTGTTTAGACAACCAGACAGATGGGTTGACAGCTCCTTGCCTTAGGAACTCAGTGATGTTTAAATTAACAACTGGCCACAAGTCAAACACAGGAACACTCAAAAGTTTGGGAGGGAGCGTTATAATTGGTACCTTGGCAAAACACATCATAACAGATTAGGAAGATTCACTGCTAGACTCTGAGAAGATTTAAGATTTGTACCAAGGACAGGCTCTTTAATCTCATCTGTTACAATAGTTTAGCATCTAAAGAACACCTGTTTAGAAACCCAAATATCTTAAATCCTATAATGTGAGCCAAAGTGACTAACACTCAACTCGACCCTCTAAACACTAATCAGAAGCAGGAGTAGCTCACAGAAGTGGAGGACATTAGTTCTACGTCCCATGTGCCTGAGCTATTCCATTTCTGGGATCAGTCTTAGCATTAAGCTTGCAAATCACCTTACAGTCCTATTTATTATTCCCTACAATTCTCTAAAATGTTACCCTCTTAACCCTACTTCATAAAAGGAAAGACACAGATCATAACAATTAAGGTATTTAAGCCAAGATTGTGATCATCAGACAACCCACTGGTCACACACCTCTTTACACTAAATCTACACTTAGGCAAATGGTTTCACTCAAAGAAAAAGGCAAGGCAAAAATATCATCATGAGGTTTTATTAAATGTTTCAGAAACTGTTCATCCTCACACAGCCTGCTGGTCCATTTCTGAAACTCTTGGGGACCTAGTGGGGTATGAAATTTGAACTTTCCACGAAGTATCTGGTTGGTGCTGAACAACCCTGTACTGTTTTCAGGTGGCAAATAACCTGGTGCTCTTTTAAACATCTGCGATCAGCATGTCAGCGGACTGGTAACAATGAACAAAGGCCGTATTTTTCTGAAACGCATCTTTTCTCTGGAAAGACACGGACTAGTGTTTTGGGGGGAAAGGTAAAATCTTCCTTCAGGTTTACCTCAGGAAGGAGGGCCTCTTTTCAGTTCAACAAACCTACTATTCCACTGGAAACACTGTGTTCAGAAAGATTAAACGCAGCCCCTGCCCTGCAAGGACTCTCTGAACATCTTTTGGGTGCTATGGGTTTAATACACATTCTTTTAATTAATCCTATTAGCTGGATAATTTCATCCTCATTTTACTGGTGAGTTAATACAGCAGATTTGGATCCGAGATTGCAGAGCAGGGCTCCAAAGCCCAAGCTCTTTCCATAAAACATTCCAAAGAAATGTAAAATCTAAAGATGTGGGTGGGGTAGGCAATGTATGGTTCTGTTTCCTTTCCTGGCTCCCACCGTACAGCAAGGCTGTACGGAATATCCAACCATAAAGAGGCTTTTCGAAGCAAGCGCTGAATCCACTCTTTCTTGGCTACCCCTGCCCCACCCCCAACCGAGCCAAAAGAGCAGCAAACTGTGTGCCAGGTTAGAGGAGTTGGGGATGGTCACACCACATTCCTGGGGCTGGATACACACTGGAACTGCAGCAGAGCTCAGCGCCTCGGAAAGAATAACAGCAGTTGAGATTTTTAAATCATGTGGCTCAGCACGCTGCCACACCAGTTCCCCCACTGCTCTAGCCTCCACCTTTCAAAGACTTGAGCCGCACGCCCGACTCAGCAACACGCCCAACTCATCCGGACCGCCGACCGGGTCCGAGTGTCAAAATTTGGGCAAGCCGTAAGCCCCCGTGGCCATCGCAACCAGACCCACGGCCCCAGCAGGGAAGGGGCGAGCCTGGAGAGCTGGGCTCCGAGGCCCTGCCCCGCGCTGCCCACGCCACAGCCCCGCACGCCTCCGCGCAGCCCATCGTGGTCCGCGCGCCGGGACCAGCCCACCCTGGGTTCCCCCACCGCGACCCACCCCCCAAACACGGAACCAAAAGCTGCCCGACGCCCCGATCCAGGCTGGGAAGCTGGAGAGTCGCTGCGCGGGGAGGCGGGTGCGGCCCGCGGTGCCCAAAGTTTCGGGGAGCGGGCGCCCCTCTCCGCTCCGGGCAGAGGCAAGGGGATGGCGGCCCCGCGCCGAGGCAGGGGGATGGCGGCCTCCGGCAGGACCCCACAGCCCAGCCCGGTACTCACCGCGCACGGCGCCCGCGCGGCACAGCCCCAGAGCCAGCAGCGCCCACAGCGCAGCGGGGCGCAGGGCGGGCATCTTCTCGGTGGCCGGTCGCTCCGCGGTCGCCTGCTGCTCCGCCGCCGCCGCCCGGACAGATCCACATAGGGAGCCCCGCTCTCCCGTGCCCTCTTCCCGCCGCTGCGGCTCGCCACGTTCCGGAGCTCGACTGCAACGCCCGGACTCGCCGCGCCGCCAGGCCGCCGCCCGAAGTTTGGCTGAAAGTTTCTGGCTGTGCAGCGAAGCAGCCTCGTGTGTCCTTCCGCCCCGGCCGCCTCCTCCCACCGCAAGGCCCCGCCCCTGTCGCCCGGCTGGGCCGCGCCGCCTCGGGCACCCAGGGGTTTCCCGCAGGAAGAAGCGCCGGCCCCAGCTCCGCGGAGGGATCTAAGCGAGTCCGCGGACCGACAGCCACCCCCCCCACTCCCCCCGACCGTGCCCAGCCCGCGCGGGGTCCGGCGTCCTCACCCGCCAGCCAGGGGGCCCGGGCGGCTCCCTGGGTGCGGTGCAGATCTTCCAGCGGGAGGGTTTGCCCGGATCCTGAACTTGCCAGGAGAGGCAGACCTCGTGCCCACACACCCACACATCCACACACGCCTCGGATCCGCAGAGGAATGGGGGCGAGCAGAACCGGGACTGTCAGGGAAAAGGGGCTAAGGCGCCAAAGTCCACCTAGAAGGGCTGGAGTCGCCGCGCACGATTCTTTCACTCATTCTCTCACTCTGGTTCATTTAGTAGAGATTCCGTAAGCACTTTACCTTGTGCGGCAATGTACATGCTCGTGGAATTATACCGAACAGACACACGCTGCTTGGAGTGCCAAAATCTCAGGGGTCTGGAAGAACAGAGGAAAGACTTCCAAGGACTGGCATGACTGTGGGACCTTGAACCGTCTAATGTGGAGAAAGGGATGGAAGGGGCAAAAATACTCATTGTAACCTAATAATAACCAAAAGTTGGGAGCAACCTAAGTAGCTGAAAAGGCCATCTTCATCTGTCAATCATAAAACCCAAATGATAATAAAAACACAAACTGCGGAGGGAGACAAGTATATCACTTAGGTCTAATTTTTTCAAGACAGTGCTATACATTACTTGTGGGTGTTTATGAATATAAAGAAAAACTATCACCCTAATAGTGATGACTTCCAAGGTGGGAGGGGTGTGATCTGGTCTGGATGTAAATGAGTTTGTAGAACAGTTGAACAGCTACAATGAGTTGCTTGAACAGCATTCTGGAAAGGCCCACTGTGTAAGAGAGGCACTGCTAGCCGTAGGGGGCGCCCCAAGAGGAAAAGGGGTAGACGAGATTATGCAGACCTTGAGTGACAAGCGGGGCTCCGCCGGTCATAGAAAACCAATGAAGGTTTCCAGCAGGGGTGAGGCTTGATGGAAAAGGGAGGTCGCTTTGATAATCCTGTGCAAAGCTGATTGTCAGGAGCAAAAGGTGAACTGGGGCCTCAGGACCAGTTAAGAGCTTGTGAAACAGTCCGGGCTGGGGGGGGGGGGCTGTTCAAGAGGTAGACATCAGACTGGAAAGAAATTGATGGTTCTGAGAAACTTGAGAAAATAAGGGGGAAAGGGGACAAAATGTGAGGAATTGGATGTGGGAGCTTTCAGTTCTGTTGGGATGGGAAGTTCTACCCTTCCTGACTCCTATAAAGATAAAGTCCAAGTTCTTGAAAATGGTACAGATATCTTTCCCTCCTCTGGTCCCATCTCCTGTCCTCCCTGCCCCCATTGTAAACTTCACACAGTCACAGTGACTTGAGAGTCCCCACACATATCTTCCTCTGTTCCTTCTGCTCTCTTGACTTGGAATGACTCCGTCCCCTTCCCTCCTTCGATGCACTAAGCCTTCAGAAAGTGGCTTTGCTGACTTCGGAACAAATTCCTACCCCTAGCTGACAGCCCCTCCGCTCTATGGCCTCTATCTTACAGTAGTATCGATTTTTTTTTTCACACAGGATTGTGTATTTCTGTCTTCTTAACTACAGTGGAAAGTCTTCATGGGCAAAGACATGGCCTTCATCCCCAGTGTCTAGCACATGAGAGATGCTGAACTAGAATGCAGAATACCACTAAGCAAGCACAAGTTAGTGTGAGCATTAAAACTGCATTTTAATAGGTACCATAGCAGGTCGGAAGATAGCTCAGTGGGAAAGAGTGCTTTCTGGGCAAGCACAAGATCCCTAGTTCAATCTCCAGTGCTGGGCATGGTGGTGCACGCCTTTAATCCCAGCATTCAGGAGGCAGAGGCAGGCGGATCTCTGTGAGTTCAAGGCCAGCCTGGTCTACATAGTGAGTTCCAGGACAGCTGGGGCCACAGGGAGACCCTGTCTCAAAAAGACAAAAAAAAAAAAAAAAAAAAAAAAAAGGGTAAAAAAAAAAAAAAAAAAAAAAAAAAAAAAAAAAACAGGTGTAGCTGTGCACATGCCTGTAACCACAGCACTATAGTGGGGGTTGGGGGTGGAGATAGATCCCCGGGGCTTGCTGGATTGCAGGCTACCTCCAGGTTCAGGGAAAGACCCCACTCAGGAATAGGGTGGAGAAGTGATAGAGCAGGATACCTGACATACTCCTCTGGCCTCCATATTATTATTGTTACACACACACACACACACACACACACACACACATACACACACACACGACTTTAGGACAGATAAGCAAGTACTTACTGAAAATCATCACCTTGGGATCCTAGAATCTCTTTTCAAAAATAACATAATTTGTCAAAATCACTTTGCGATTTCTGTTTGTGCAATGGTTTAAAGAAAGATAACATATTTAAGTTGTTGACCCTCAGTATTACCAGTCTGATCATTCTCTTTACTCGGCTAAGTAGCTAATAATGAGTTGCTATATACAATTTTTAAATTCCCTTGCAAAGATCAGAGTTGTCACTATCACAATCTGTTCAGAAGAAGGTCCTCGTCCTGAAGAGCAAAGATGGCTGCAGCTAAGACAAAAGTATTAGAACACAAGTGTCCCTCAAGGCAGCTGCTTTAAAGAAAGTAACTGTAAGCGCTGAGGAGACAGTTCAGTGGGTAAGCACAAGGACCTGGAAAGTCTCCAGGAAAAAAAAAAAAGAAGAAGAAGAAGCCAGGCATGGTGACATGTGCTTGCATTCCCAGCACTGCAGAGGCAGAGACAGGAGGGTCCCTAGGGCTTATTGGCCAGCCAATCTAGTCTAACTGGTGAGCCCCAGGCCAATGAGAGACCTTGTCTCAAAAGAGGTCAATGGTACCCCTGAGACTGATACCCAAAGTTGTCCCCTGGCCTCTGTATATATGCATACCTGCACAAACATGTGCACCGATTCATGCACACACACATATACAAGCATTAAAAAAGAGCATATTGCATGCATATTGCAACTTCTGTTGAATTTATTACAATGTTAAATGTACTGTATGTATTCCAGTTAGGTACTAGACAAATAATGAGCAAAGATTATAATGAAAGAAGAGCTGAAGAGAGACAGGTAGAGGGAATTAAGATCCAATTTAAGTAGAGTGTTGTGGGTTCAGCCTCAGGGTAGTCGGGGAAGGCTTTTAGGAAGAAGCCAATAAATAGACTAGGAATTGGAGGATCAAATGACCCATCAGGTGATGAAGGGACTTCTCACATTCAGAGACTTTAGTCTGTTCCAGGCCCAGAGCAGCATGGATGGAGGCAGATAAGCAATAGAGATCAGAGTTTATTGCTGAACTGGGAGGACCAGCTCCTAAGCAGGAGCTGTGGGAATGCAGGAAGGATGGGTTTGGCTCCTGGGATTAGTAACACTTTAAATGAAAGAGGAAAAATGTATACAGACTCAGCAGTGACCTCAATACCCTGAGGCAGGACGATGCCTTCCCAGATACAGGATAGAAATGAGAAGGGAAAGGAGGTTTGATAGAGAAGATAAGTAGGCAAGATATCAACATAGCTGGAAGGGAAAACTGGAGTACAGAGGTGGTAGTTGTCCGCCTTAAGAAGAGGGGGGTGTAGCCTGACTGATTCACAGAATGGAACTGCACTCTTGAAACCGGCCTCTTCCCTGGGTTAAGCTTAAACTTCACCAGACGCATCTATTTTTCTGTGACACGTCAGAAGACACATGGCTTGTGGCAGTGTCTGGAAAACTTGAGCAGTAGCTTAAAGATGTAAAAGGCCCAAATCTGCCAGCAAATGTCAGCCTCGAATATACTCAGCAGTTTAATTACTTGACTGGATTGGAGATGGTCTTCTCCTAAGGACATTGCTTTCAGTCAAAGTAAATCCTCCTTATAGGGAAGATTGGCAGGTAGACATTCAGGCCTTAAAACTAATCATGGCAACTGCCAATTCTAAAAGTCCCATAGCTTCACTAAGCAAGGAAAAAATGGGATCCTGCCAACTTTTGTATGAAAAACAATCTGTCTCCAAGGTCCCATTAAAGGTCACAGTCCATTAGTAGTAGAAAAATGTGAACAAAAGCTACCAATAGTTTTGGTTTTACTCAAAACTTAAAACATAATATGCCGTTATTGGTTAAAAACCATGTGTAAGATTTCCTCCCAAAACAAGGACCAAATTGGGTGCTTATTTGTTCTCTCGTCCCCTCTCAGATCCAATAGGTCTTAAAGGCCTCAAGGTACGGCCTCATTGGTCTATTTAGTCCCAGTTTCTAGCACAGTCATATATGGATGTGTTCAATAATATATGATGGAGGTTTGGTTTTAATTTGTTTTTTTGAGATAGGCTAGTCTTGAATGATCTTTAATTCCTGGTCTTTCTGCCTCCAACCACCACAGCCAACTAAGTCTGGTTAGAAGTCACTCAGTGGGTCTGTGTGCACACACATGTGTGTGGGGGGGGTGTTACTGGGAATTGAACTGAGGGACTGACACAAGCAAGACAAGCACTTTATCACAGAGCTATGTCCTCAGTCCTATACATTAAGTAAATGTTGTAAGTGGAACTTATGTGGCCCATAAACTGAGAAGAGATGAAAGACAGGAAGAATGAGCAGGTGGTGTATTGGAGAATCCCAGGCTGAATCAGATACTATGGATATTGGGGTAGAAATTCTCAACAGGCATCTAGCCTAAGCCTTCCACATGTCTCAGCACCTAACACATGACTCTAAGGGTGGAGGGAAGAGATGTTCGTGGAAGCAGGAATTTAAAGGAAGATTTCTTTTTAATAATGTCTTGCATTTGGGCAGTGCTTTATACTTTATAAAAATACTTTAAAGTATATTATCTTGTTTGAGCCTCAAAGCAATCGTGGGAAACAGACAGGCCAGCCATTATTATCCCCATTTCATAGATGAAAACAATGAAGATAAAGTGCCTTGCCCAAGGTTAAATAAGTAATTAGTGACAGAGCTGAGACAAAAATCCCTTGGTTTCTAACTAATTCAATCTCTTTGCACCAGGTGCAACAATGTAACGCATTCTTAAGGTGCTACTGAATGCAGAGACCTCTAGGCATGGGGCACCAGGGTCTTATCACTTCTGTATGATACAGAGCAAACTGACCCACTGTAACTGGGAAATCTAAGCAAGTAAGTGCACGCTTCCATTTTAAAGCACATTTGAGAGCCTACCCTCTATGGAACACGTTC